AAATTTTCACCCGGAGTAGTGTATGAGAGAGCCTTTTTCTAATGGCCTTATGCATAAAAAATAAAGTTGCTTTAAAAAAGGTTTATAAACTGAACAATGTATGAAGACGTCACTTTACAAAGCTCTCTAAATCTACTTTATTTTTTTGAATAAGGTCATACGTCTTTTGTGCTACAATAACAAAAGTCCTACGAAATATCTTGCCATCTGTATTTCATTTGCCTTACGAACGCCTACTTACTATCTTAACCATAATTGCCCTTTAATTATATCAATATAACTATTACTAACGATGTCGATAACTATAAAGACAGAAACGTAAGTGAATATATCGATAATAAAGTAAACGAATTCGATAATGTATGTATATATGCAGAATTATGATCTAATTGTATATATTTTTACGTAGCTGCTGGTGTCCAAACCGTCACACTTAATCCCGTGGTTCGGGTCCGTTGTGATACCACGCTGATATGAGCGAGAAAAGGTGGACTTCATTTCACTCGATGTTTGCTTAGCAGAAGAAATAAATTCACCTCTAAATTTAATTAGTGTTTAATAGACATACATAGTATATCCAACATTAACAGCCAATTTTACGAACGCAGTTTAAGCAAAAAAAAAATTATTTTAATTTTTGAATTATAAATATTTGGAAATTGAAGGTAAATAAGAAATCATTTTACATTTAAATTGCTGCTGAAACCGGTGGTAAATTTAGTAAAGTTCCAAAGCATCACACCATTTGAGCAGTGCTCAAACTTTGTTTAAAACAAACGTGTTTTGAAAGTTTTTTATGAATAAAAATAGTTTCTTCAGACGACAAACCAGATTAAGCTTAAAAAATCCGCATGAAAATATTTAAAAATGTTTTCAACGGATAATGAGATTTTTGATTCTGTTTTTTTTTTTAACCTTTTTCGAAGATTGATTTACGAAAAACTTGAACAACTGGGCCAAAACTATTCTGATTTAGACTTATGTGATCTCAGTATAATGCTATTTTACCACTGTTTTTATTTCTATCAAAAAAAAGTCACTCGTGTCCAATTTTATTTTTTTTTTCAAATACCAACACATCTTAATTTAACTTTGAATGACGTTCTTTCATCCTACCTTTCTCTTTCATCCTTTGAATGAGTTTATTAGCAAAGAAATAAAAAGGGTGGGAAAATAGCTTTCTAATGATACCTCACAAGTCTAAATCGGAAGGGTTTAGGTTCAGTCATTCTTTGAAAAAATTTAAAAAACAGCATCAAAAAATTCATTACTACGATTCCGTTCGAACTTTTTCATAATTTTTAAAAAATATTTTTATGCAAATTTTCTAAGCTTAAACCGTTTTGTCATTTGAAGGGATTTTTTCACAAAAAAAAAAAAAACTTTAAGAAACTATTTTCATTCATAAAAAACTCCATTTTTGGAGGTATTTTCAAATCGGTCCAGCTTACGTAAATCTTAATATTTTTCCGAAATATTTTTGTGGACGTCTTAAAATACAATAGATTTTATAATTCCAATAGAAACACAGTACCGATTTTTTTTTTTTGTATGGAGAGTGATGCTGTCTAATGTACATATATGTGTTCGTAAACATTTTACCTTATTGAACCCAACGATTAATTACCCTTTAATTGGAGAGGCGTGTTTTTATTGCCGCTTATTGGTGTAATTGGGCACCTTGGGGACTTCTTTGAAATGAAATTATCTAGTCACCTCGTGTGCGTTTCAGAACTTATACTCAAGTTCTTAGTTTAAACGCTGGCCGCAACAGTTCGTTTGGCAAAAAAATTCAACTATGCACAAACTTGTTTTATACTTTGAACAGTACCTGAATTACATTGCCATTTTGAACGGTTTCACCAACCTTCGGATAGATTACGCCCATAGGAAGATATACAACTCGAAACTTGTGAACTGCTATGTGTTGATGGCAAATATTGTCACTGTGGCTCTGCTACCATGCGCCCACGCAATTGCCATCAATTACATCACTGCTAGCTTCAAGAACAATTTGCTCGCCTTCACCGACTCTGCCAACTTGTTCGTCCACTACATTGTTGTTGTATTTTCAGTCACTGGTCGATGTCGCCGAGAAAAAATTTACAAGCAAATTTCGAGCGAATTATTCAAGTTGGACCGGTCCTACTTCGAAAAATTGGAACTGAATTTGCGCATTGAGAAACGTTCCAACTTTGTGTTGTTTGTAAAAATGTGCAGCGTCTGTGCTATGGTCGTGGTGCCCATTTACGGTGTATTCCAGCAAGCCATACGTGTGGACGCCAATGTGATTATGCTGGCCCTGTACTCGGGTCACATCGAGTGCATTCTACATGGAGTCATATTCCTCTTCTTCCGAATGCAATGGCAAGTGCGAAAACGCATGTGGCGGTTAAATTTGCATCTCGCGGACTTACTACAACGTCAGCAGAGGTTGCACCGGGACGCGGTCGGTACTCTGGCAGCGGACAGTGATACATTGCGGTGGCTAAGCCGGCTGGCGGCAGATGAACTACGCGAAATCGCTAGAGCTCATGCGCACCTTAGCCAAATGCTTTTGCGCCTCAATCGCGTATATAGGTGGCAGGTTATTGCAGTGCTGCTGACGTATTTGATAAGCAACATTTCGTATGGCTACTACTGGGTGGTGATGATGGAAGCCTCCAAACACGAACACCCGAGCGCGCTTTCCGTCTTGGGGTCGGTTGTGCTATGTACCGTTGTTTTTTTCGATATTAACTTGCTGTATTGGGCAGCGGATGCAACTGCTCACGCATGTCAAAACACCGCATATATACTGAGAGAATTTCAGGAGCCGCTGCTAACGGATGCTCTATTTGAACAGCAGGTAAGTGGAAAATAGAATTCGAATAGATGAATGTGCCACCTGAAAATAGGCCACGCCAGTACTAAATAGCTCATGAGCACGTTTTTGTTGTAGAAAAAATGTGCGCAAGTGACGTTGCATACTTTCAGCAGCTACATATGTAAGTATATTCACACTTCACTATGTTCTTACGTTTTTTCAGTACGAGGTATTCGCGCTGCAATTAAAGCAACAAAAAGTCGACATAAACATAGCCGGCATGTTCATTCTGAATCGACAGACCGCGCTGGCGTTATGGGCCTTCAGTGCGCGACACATACTCATTCTTGTGCAATTCGATTATGGCGCTCGGAAGCAGTCGCACCGATCGGGAGGTGTGCTGGACCAGATAAACCGATTGCTGCAGTTTGGCGAGAATTGGGCTGAGCAGTAAATGCAAACCACAAAATTACGCACTTCTGACTGTATTACGCTATCTGCTAATCCCGACTTTGAAGAAGACATGGGTGACATCCTTGATTCCGTTCATGGCAATCCAGACCTCAGCCATCCTTCAACTGACAATATTCAATTACTTTATCTTTCTGTGGTCCATTAGCTATAGCTTGCAGTATGTGCACATGGCACATCAAATATTCTAGAAGTCAAAGACGACGCACTGCACCATGGGAAACGCAAACTGGAGGTACACTGGCAGTGGGCTGAACTGGCGCGATTGGTCAATCTCAAGAATAGGTTTCTGGTCAGTACTTAGTAGATTTTTCAGATTGAAAGCTATTTGCTGCGCATTCACAATAATGACTTTCGTTTGGATTTGTGTGGCATGATGGATCTTAAATTCTTGTTGTAATTATATTGCACACCAGGCGAGAAATTAAATTGCACAACTTGTTCTAATATAATATTTATAACTATTTTCATGAAAAGTTTTTTGCATTATATATTTATTTAAGGTTCATATGTATGTACAATGTCCTTCAAATCAAACGAACGATTTTTTTCAGTCTCACCCCCTCAATCGGCAATACCACGGGCACAGATATCACATATAAGTTTTGGTCACGGTTGGAATCGGTAAAGGCGTGTCGCAAAGGGGTGGTCAAATTCCAGATGCCTCTATGGACACAAAAAATTAAAAACCTTTTTTTTTCATTCAATACCCAAAATCAGCAAGTCTTTCCTCATAGGAAACGGTGTTCGAAAAAAACACAGAGAAAAGAACTGGTTTTTGCTGAAAATAGGTCTCAAAACGACAACATTTTTGTGCCACCACCTTTGGTCTGAAAATTAACATCACTGATTTTTAAGTAAAACTTACCTAATAACAATTATTTTTGAACGAAAAAAAAAACGTAGAAAGTGAGTTTTAAGTTACTACAAAAAATTAAAACTAAAGAAAAATAGAACTAAACAAGAAATTTGCAATTTACGACAATGCCAAAGTAATTTTTCAAGCAACAAAAATAACGCAAAATATTTCTTGTGATTTTACTTGAGAGTTGGAAACTCTAATAGTCACGAAAATAATTTAAGAGAAAAATTAGTTTTTGTATTTAAATTTAATATGAAAACTAAGAGAAGGGAAAACATCATTTCTCAATTCTTCATTGCTTGTGAAACTGGCTATTAGTTTAATAAAGAAAAATTTCCGCACACAAAAATTTAAAGCATTTTCAATCATCAATACTTGTATATGTGTTTTCCATTGGCTTATCATTGATCACAGAAATATTATTTAGCTCCCGGAAAAATTAAAGACTAATCTAAAAGGAACAGACGACAACATTATCCGGATTAACGCCGCAACTGATCTAAACAAAATTCTGCCTTGATAGACGACAGTAGAATTTTAATATATTTTTAAGGATTTTTTTAGTAAGGCCTTGTTGACTTTTTTTAATAAAAAGAAAACCGACTTCAACTCTCATATAAAAATTTAAGATTATCAATAATCTCTTCATGATCCAATGATCGGATTTAAAACAATTTAGAATGGGACCACCTGTGAGGTAACACCTTTCTCTTATAAAACGAATTATAGAAATCGGTGAATGTGGTCCAAAGTTATGCGGTAACATACATAAAAACAAAAGAAAAAACAAAAACAAAAAAATAATGTTCAGACGAATTGATATCCTTCCTCCTTGTTGTAAAGTCGGTTAAAAATTAAATAAAATGAAAAGTGGTAAACAATAAAAATAAAAGAAAGCAATCGCCCGAACCGAGTATCGAACCTGGGTCCTACGGAATTGCAGTATGCAGATCTCACCACCCGGCAATCGCGCATGCCACACCACCCTATTTTGTTTGCTTCCTGGAGCAATAGACAAAATCTGGCCGCCTTGGCCAGTGTTGTCATTGAAAATTTCCCTGAGGAATAGCTGCAGGATTAAATTCGGATCAACGGTGCCCGTCTGTATCCGCTTGCACATTGCCATTTACATACATACATACATATGTATGTACGTTTATTGTGCTTTGTTTTTGCTTTTTGCGATTCTTGCATTCATCCATACGTAACGGAAACAAGTGATTTTTTTTTTTAAATCAACTAATTGAAAGACTACTTCAAAACAAATGCAATGAGCAAATGTTTCGAATTTTTATACTATTTTTTCTCAAAAAAAAAAACAATTTGTGTCTTGGACGTATGAAAAAGCATCTGTGAAGTGCAGAACGAAAGCGTTTTTAAACGAAACATACTGACTTTGAAGTTGTTTAAGCCAAATTCATTTCAAAGTAGTTGAAAATACTAGCAGGAAAAGGCAATTGACTGCTCCCTAGGACATCGGTATGTTAAATAAATGAGTTCGTTGCAGGTAAAATA